TCTACGACTCATTGCCTAATAAAATGCATTTGGGAGTCACACATGACGTAGTAAAATTCTAAACCTCATCTAATTAACAACCATTACATTCATATTTATTATTTCACTATTTTTAACAACCATTTGTATTACCAGATAAGACATCTTCATAAGGACGCCGGGAATGCTTTCCACAGTGACCCGAGTAAATGGGATGTTAGCACGGCTAGAGGAATTCCCACACAAACCAATAGCGTCGACTGCGGTATATTTGTTTGTAAATATATGGAGACACTTGTATAGAAAGGCAAGATTAACTGGAAATATTTTCAAGACTGGCAGGCTGAGATTCCTCAGTTTAGGGCAGAGATAGTATATGAAATCTGCAGATATAGATTGTTTGGAGAATAAATGTATTATATGTTTGATATATTGTTATTTTGTGTAGGTTTATCTTACAGGACTAAGCTGTTTGATATATTGTTGTTTTGTATATATCTGTTTAAATGTATTATCTGTTTGATGTGTTGTTATTTTGCTTGGTTATACTTATGATATTGTTGATGTATTGTTATCTTATCAGGTTATTATCGGTGTATTCTCAGGTTATTCTTGGGGTATTGTTAGTTTATTGTTGGGGTATTTCGAGGTTATTCTCAGGTTTTTTCTCGGGGTATTCTGAGGTTATTCTCCGGGTGTTGTCAGGTTATTCTTGGGGTTTTCCCCGGTTATTGTTGGGGTATTTTGAGGTTATTCTTGGGGTATTAACAGCTTATTCTCAGAGTATTCTCAGGTTATTCTTGGGGTATTCTTAGGTTATTGTTGGGGTATTCTTAGGTTATTCTTGGGGTATTCTCAGGGTATTGTCAGGTTATTCTCGGAGTATTCGTAGGTTATTCTCGGAGTATTCTCAGGTTATTCTCGGAGTATTCTCAAGTTATTATTGGGGTATTCTTAGGTTATTGTTGGGGTATTTTGAGGTTATTCTCGGAGTATTCGTAGGTTGTTCTCGGAGTATTCTCAGGTTATTCTTTGGGTATTGTGAGGTTATTCTTGGGGTTTTCCCCGGTTATTGTTTAGGTATTTTGAGGTTATTGTCTGGGTATTAACAGGTTATTCTCGGGGTATTCTCAGGCTATTATTAGGGTATTTTGAGGTTATTCTTGGGGTATTCTGAGGTATTCTCAGGTTATTCTCGGAGTATTCTCAGGTTATTCTTGGAGTATTCTCAGGTTATTATTGGGGTATTCTTAGGTTATTGTTGGGGTATTTTGAGGTTATTCTTGGGGTATTCTCAGGGTATTGTCAGGTTATTCTCGGAGTATTCGTAGGTTATTCTCGGAGTATTCTCAGGTTATTCTCGGAGTATTCTCAAGTTATTCTCGGGGTATTCTAGGGGTTATTCTGTACTCAGCAGACATATAAATTACAAACCATATGGAATAATGTTATATGAACTTGTACATTGACACAGATGAGTTAATGTGGGCATAACATGTTATAACATGTGAATTATATTGGGCATAGAGCATGTCGGTGTGCCAAT